GTTGTTGCCACTGCAGAGAAACAATTATTTTTTTGGGCAAGGGAGAGTGGTGTCTGCCGCTGGAATTTGAGAAAGTGAGGACCTCGGTTTGATTCCGAGCCGAGTCCAGGCAGTGTATGCGAAGACTGGACCGGTGGGTGGACGCGACGCGAAAGTTGGGAGCGGCAGCGGGTGCGGCGGAAGGGAGAACGCGGGAAGAGCTCGGAGCGGCTCTGCAGGGCCCCCCAAGTGTGTGTGCTCGTGGGTGAGTGTGGTGCCGAGGAGCATCTCACGAAGCATCCAAGCACGCACAGACTTCCCCGTTTCGACCAGCGCCGCAACGGGCCCGCGTCACCCACACCACTCTCCGGACCCAGGTTCGATCACTCACTTTAGTAGGATTGTATAGCATTTAGAGTCGTTATTGTGTTATACATTTTTTTTGTTCGTTTGTTCTTGTGTACTGTCCAGTGTGGACAAAGCCTTTAAACCGCTGCTCTGCCGGTTATTATTATTTTTTGTTTTGTTTTGTGAGTAGCGCCTGCGCGATAAGAAAAAGCGGTGTGATTTTTTTTTTTTGTGAATTTCATTATGTGTAAAAGCGCCGCGCGCGAGAAGGGCAGAGTTAGCGTGTGATTATTTTTTTGTTTGCGTTTGGTGTGTGCGTTGTCTTGAACGTGAGTCAAGTAAATCCTTCGTTATTTTTAGCGCAACGTCTCCGTCTCGTTCCTCGCCCCTCACAGTGAGTCCCTCCACCAGGGCGTGGACCTATCGTCCGGTCAGCGGTCCTAACAAAATTATAAATTTTGTTTGCATGGGGATCATTTGGATCTTTTATTGTTAATTTTTCCGAACCTGTGACAAACTGGCGTCCGCGACAGGACCTGCTGACCACGGTGACGGCTCAGTCCGTGAGGAGCGGGGGATGAGATTGAGGTCGCCTGGGCCGTAGGAAGTGCGCTGTGTGGCAGACGCCGTTGCGGGAGCTCACAGCCCAGCTTGCCGACCGAGTATGGAAAAAGTATCCTACGGTAACAGGAACTAGAAGGGGCTAAGCGACCAAAATATGAAGCTTAAGGAGCTAGTGGCTTTAGGCCAAGATTTAGGTCTCGATGAAGCTAGCCTCAAAGATTGGTTACATACTCAGCTAGTGGATGCTAAGCAGGACTTGGTATCTGTCCAAGACTGGACGAGAGAAATGGTTAAAGGAAAATGGGAATCCCAAGAACGAGCAGATAAGCTTTTCGCGTACCGAACAAAAGCTGAGGCCGAAATTCGTAAGCTGGAAGAAATGTTAGAGCTTTTGCGGGCCACGGAACCTGAGAAGGTAAGCCTCGAGACGTCGAGGGGGAAGGCTCCGCAGGGCATTTCGACCGAAGATGTGGACGTATTCACCACGAGGTGGAACGCGGTCGACGAAGAACAGACGCAGGCCGGGGTCTGCTGCTTGGGAGAGACGATCCCGCTGTTCGAGTTAGAGGAAGATGCCCCAGAGAGGGAACAGGGCGTGGCCTACAAGGAGACCTCGACAAACAGGGATGCTGCAGTGCCAAAGTCCCGCAAGTTAAGGGAAGAGGGGCTCCACATTGAAGGGGACGGTCCCGAGAACCAGGACCCGGCTGCAAAGCTGCCGCGCAAGTGCGGTTCGTCGCGTGTTGGCAAGACGCGATCGCCCAAGAAGAGGCGCATCGGCTGGTCGAGGTCGTCGAGTAGTGAGGACTTGCCGGAGGCACCGGGAATCGCTTCGGACAACAAGGACGAGGAGGGAACAATCGGGCCGCCCGAGCGAGAGACGTCCCGGAAAGCAGCACTCGATGAACAGAGGCGCAAAGTTGGAGCCCGCAGCGAGCAAGGGGACGGCGACAAGGACGGCGTCATCCAGGGTAAGCCGGCAAAGGTCAGAGCTGGCGGCACCAAGGCAGATTTGCCCGCCCGCCAGCTAGCGACGCACGAGAACGGGGGCAGAGACCCGGAGTCCTGTGATGGTCCGTCGATCGTCCAGCCGCACGTGCATCTAAAGGCGAGGTCCAAGGAGGGAACGGCGAGGGCCAATTCAAGCGCGTGGGCCAAGCCACCGAGTGAAGGGTCCTTATTACGGAAGAACAACGGCCTCGAGACCCTGAAGGCGTCGTCGCCGAGTGTGAGGCCTACAGGGCGCCGGAAGGCGGCGCTTCGGAAGAAGACATCGAAGGCGAAGAACGGCTTCAGCGTTCGAAATCAAGTGATCAAACCCAGCGGGCGCAGAGAGAAAGGGCCCCGAAGAGAAACGGCAATCAAGGGGAACCGGCCCCTCTCACCACGTGCAACCCGCACTCAAAGCCGGAGGGCTTGGGAGCGGGACCTCGGAACAAAAGCTGCAGTGGAAGCAGCGGACTACGCGGCATTTCAAAGAGGCGCAGGGGCGACGGGGCATTCCAAACTAAGCAGTACGGTGAGGAGGCCCCGGTTGGGAGGTTAGAGAAAGACCCCTTGCTAGGCAGGTAGAAAAAAGGGCCCCTGACTATTTGTAAAGCGGCTTAAAATGTAGCTCAGTGGTGCCTAACATGTTTCGTTTTGTAACTGTTAGGTAATTGTTAGAGTGTGTCGATAACTGGCATGTGGAGGCCCTGAGCACGAAAAGAATCGGCTATGTTCTTGTCTAGGAGCAAGCAGAGGTGTATGTATAAATTAATTGTGTCAGCATGCGCTCCGCAAACCCTGTGTGAAATTGGAGGTATTCAAGTTATTTTTCTTGAGGTAAGCTGTTGGGAGTAACGAGAAGAGACTCTCTTTCTTTTTTGCGGGGCCTTATCTTACGTGCTGGTTGTTCAGCAACTTTCAGGATGCTGACTTGAATATAATAGAAGTGAGAAATTGGACTTTCATCATGCAGCCTGGCTTTCGCAAACGAAGTGTCTGTATAGCCTAAGAGGAGCCCCCGGGGTCTGTGTGTTTTATTTTGCTGTTTGAGCACGTTTACATTTTTTTTTAATGATTCGTGTTTATGCTTGTTCATGACAAATATCTGTTCAGCCGTATGCACATGTGCAGGCTGCCGCCCAGTTTTGTGTCGAATTTTGTGATTGTCTTAATATTCACTGGTGAATATTTTTGAATTGGGGGTGGTGTCACAGAATTCGACTATTTTTTTTTTTTAATCTTTTTTCAAAGTTTTCCCGAGGGAACGCATCCCGTCATAGGACGCTCCCTTGCCCCACGCGCTGAGCGGCAGGGTTCGGGCACCGTCCGTTTTCTGTTTTTATGGCCCCCTTGCCCCTTCGCCCCGAGGACGTTTCTCGCGAGGTTTTTTTAGTTAGTAGCGATGGGCCCCCTCACTTCCCGGAATGTTGGGAATGGTTTCCAGATGTCCGAGTGGGGGTGCGCTCTATGGTTCGCTGGGGTAGGCTCGGCTTGCCAGTGTGACGTGTGTGTGTGTGTGTGTGTGTGTGTTTTTTTTGTATTTTTGTTGTTGCCACTGCAGAGAAACAATTATTTTTTTGGGCAAGGGAGAGTGGTGTCTGCCGCTGGAATTTGAGAAAGTGAGGACCTCGGTTTGATTCCGAGCCGAGTCCAGGCAGTGTATGCGAAGACTGGACCGGTGGGTGGACGCGACGCGAAAGTTGGGAGCGGCAGCGGGTGCGGCGGAAGGGAGAACGCGGGAAGAGCTCGGAGCGGCTCTGCAGGGCCCCCCAAGTGTGTGTGCTCGTGGGTGAGTGTGGTGCCGAGGAGCATCTCACGAAGCATCCAAGCACGCACAGACTTCCCCGTTTCGACCAGCGCCGCAACGGGCCCGCGTCACCCACACCACTCTCCGGACCCAGGTTCGATCACTCACTTTAGTAGGATTGTATAGCATTTAGAGTCGTTATTGTGTTATACATTTTTTTTGTTCGTTTGTTCTTGTGTACTGTCCAGTGTGGACAAAGCCTTTAAACCGCTGCTCTGCCGGTTATTATTATTTTTTGTTTTGTTTTGTGAGTAGCGCCTGCGCGATAAGAAAAGCGGTGTGATTTTTTTTTTTTTGTGAATTTCATTATGTGTAAAAGCGCCGCGCGCGAGAAGGGCAGAGTTAGCGTGTGATTATTTTTTTGTTTGCGTTTGGTGTGTGCGTTGTCTTGAACGTGAGTCAAGTAAATCCTTCGTTATTTTTAGCGCAACGTCTCCGTCTCGTTCCTCGCCCCTCACAGTGAGTCCCTCCACCAGGGCGTGGACCTATCGTCCGGTCAGCGGTCCTAACAAAATTATAAATTTTGTTTGCATGGGGATCATTTGGATCTTTTATTGTTAATTTTTCCGAACCTGTGACAATATATATATATATATATATACTGCCCGTACTAGTTATGGATTAACCTCTTTGAAATATACACTATCGTCCCTTTTAAATCAACTCGAAGGTGAAAATGTTGGACATTACTAAAAAATCAAAGGGCACGCTACATGATATGTTATTAGAAACAAAGTGATAACTGCATTTTTGTAGCTAATCGATGTAATAAGGTGTAATATCTTGTTTTTTTTTTCTTGTGTTGTCTGAAAGCTTTCTGCCACTTCTTTGCCACACTGTGCAGGGCCTCGTCAAGCTGGAAGCCATGCAACTTTTTGCCCTCTCTCCCTTCTTTGTATATAAAAAAAATAAAGATTATATATATATATATATAATCCGTACTGGCAGAAATAGTACATTGATTAAATCTCCGATGCTCAACAAGGAAGGGCGTATTTCGTAATTGCTAATTCGCCAGCCCACGTTTACGCTTTCCTGTAAATATGTAACAACCTAAAAATTCCTACATATAAGATTACAGGCCTCCCGGTGGAATATTGACCGCACAGACTCGGCCAAATATTTTCACTTGTAAGTATATATATCGGACCCAAGTAACTTTTGCAGTGCCACTTTACTCGACGTATTTTTTTATTAACAACGGAGTAACCAATACGATCGCTGTGTAGACACACACGAAGGTAATGTCGGTGATGATGATTTTTTACAGTGCTGTAGCTAGATCATGGATGTGGTCTTCAGGGACGTTAACCTATCAGGAACACGGGTATAGACTGTAGAAGATTTCGAACTGCATGTTGGGGTTGGAGCCCTGACCGCTCACAACGTAGAACACCAGCGGACCTTGCACGGACACTGCAAAAGAAAATAAAGGAAACTCGTAAAAACGTCAAGGTTCACCTCACCGTGTTCGACGAGACTCCGGCCAGTCTTGTACACGTTACTCAAAGCAAGTAATCGATCACAGTTAGAATTACTCTTGCTTAAGAAGTATTCAAGTCGATTACTCGATTACTCAAGACAAAACGTAGTTGGCTGTTACCTGGAAAATGTAACTGGTACTTCCCCGATTCCTTCAGATTTTCGAAACAAGAAAGATTTCTGGCGGTTTGAAAACGGGTCTACGTGCTGTTCGTTATTGCAACTCAAGAAGGTAGGGCTGGGGTAAGACGGGCCGGGGAGGAGGAAGCGGACGGAACGCTAAAGAGAGGGGGTGGGGTTCCCCCTCTCTCCTCCAGCGTTCCGTCTGCTTCCTCCTTTCCGGCCCGTCTTGCCCCCGCCCTACCTTCTTGAGTTGCAACGTGCTATAGAATAACCGAATTACAAACCATTCACGTTCTTAATTTACCTATTTTGGTAAACCACCCGGCTTCCGGGGATTTTGTTCCAGGATTCATTTGTATGAACCTTTTACGAACAAAGGCTGTCATTACGAACAAGCAGAAAAAAAATTAGCGGTTAGAAGCAACTTTAGTGTTTTCAAAAAAAAATCAGATTACTCCTGTGGATACTGCCTAATGCGGTATTAGGAAGATCAAGTGATATCGTTTTACTCTGTCGCGAACTATTTTAATATTTCTTGAGGACGGAAAAGCGTTTCCTAAGATTTCAGATATAAGGCTTCACGCAACGGGCCACTCCGATTTGAAGCACCAAGATGGCTAAGTGTCTTCGTAGCTTATTTGGTGACTCTGGGCTTAACCATCAGATAATCCACGTACACCGACATCAAGATGGAGCAGCGTAGAGTCTGTACGTGCAAACGTGCACGGAGGGCTCAGGTTTCAAAGCCTATGCAGGGTGTTACTGGCACTTCTGGCCGCCATGACAGGGGGAGAGAGATACTACCGGATCTGCTATGTTTACCTTGTGTTCGGGTGCGTGTGCGACGACTCTTGTATTCCCTAGCCCCGAGGGGGGATCGGTGGCCGAGTGGTCTAGCGCACACCAGCTCGGAGCACGTGGAGCGAAAGCTCGCGCTGCAGAACCCAGGGATCCTGGGTTCGAGCCCCACCCCTGCCCGTTTCGATCTGGATGAGCATCGTACCGGCGTGCGGTCGTGTATCACTACTGCGTGATGCACGTTAAAGACCCCAGGCTAGCGGCTGTACCGCACTGGCTAAATTTCTCATCTACAGCTGGGAGACTCGTCGCCCCTGTGAGGCAGACCAAGTTCTAGGCTGTATAGACCTTTTCACCCTCCGCCGCATGGGCGCTGCCATCTTGGAATCACGTGATGCGGCCGCCATTAGGTTGCTTCAACTTGTTGCTCCGCTCTCCCGTCCGCGCCTTGGCGGATCCGTTGAATTCGTGTTTTTCGTCGCGTTTCACCGCGTCTCTTGCCTTACTCCGTAAAGTGTCGTCCGATACTTATACTTACCATGCAATTGCATTACAAAATTATGCGCGCAAGTTCTGTAGTTGATTTTGTAACACGTTTTGAATATTTTGTTACCGTCGGCGTGCGGGATGCGTGTGAAAAGGTTTTATAGGAACAGGAATCAGCGTTAGCACTTGCGTACGTTGAATACATATATGTCTTGAAGAAAGCCTCGAGGGTTCAAATACCAATAACTTATGAGAACTGAGGGTTGGTTACTAATAAGGGCAGAACATTTGGAATAGGAAGCCCAATGTAATTATATATATGAGTGCGCATTGCTGGCAAGGAAGGAAGCAAAAACACTCGGCGTAATTAGCCTCGTGTTTTTCTTGAAAGCATGGTGTTTTGTAGTTACAACAGATCGAAAACAGTTTCTTTTGATTACACTAGGGGACTTGTGGACAAGAAGCGGCAACAAACGTTTAGTTTGAATTATGTTTTATGCTAGAAATAATGGTACCTTAACACTAGGCAACTTGTTTGTTCGCAATATCACACCTATATCTGTTTTACGTTCTTAATCGCGTGTGTGATATAAGCATTCACTATATCGGTTTATTTATGAATTGTATATCCTGCTTGGTCCCATGTCCATAGTCTTTCAGTTGCTTAAGTCATTTTTTAATATAATCATGCAGTTTCAATTAATTTATTTTAACACAAATATTATGACTCCCCGCGTAAGAAACTGTCACAGACAGCTTGATAGTGCCTATGATTCACAAAATGTGACACCGAAAAGAATCCTTCTGCATGAAAATCACCCGAGTGCAGCCGGTTGTTGACGGCGAATAGGGAGTTACTTTCAGTAGCTGGCGACGTCAAAATGTGCAAAGCGCATCGTTTCAAATCAGTGAACACCTTTCGTCCATTGGGTGGCGCCTGGCGTTCGACTTAGCAAAACTTATTGGAGATCATTTCCTTTGCGCTCTTCAATTTGATTCGGCAAATTTTACGGAAGATGAATATCAGACTTCATTTGAAGTCTGGCATTCACTTATCTCACCATTCTCATACCTTGAGAACGCCGTAAGCAAATGTTCATATAACAAAAAGTTTATTTCATAAGGCCAATATTTTGAAATGCTGTTAATGAGTACTTTAGTTGAAGAAATTTTCCAGTCAGCCTAGGCTGGTCTATCAAAATATTTCTCGAGCGCTTAATTTCTTTAAATAAAACAGGCCGAGGCAATATCACTTTCTTTATATTATCTACGTGATTACATGAAACTTTTCTAGTCATTATAAAATACGTTTCCGGTTTCGAAGTTAGAAAAGGTTGGTGTACGAATACCAAACATCGAACAGTTAACTTGTCAGTTCATCTGTTCTTGGTGATACAGCAGATTGTTAATCATGTTGTCGACCTGCTTTTTCACTAAGCACCCATGCAATATAGTCTGTTGCAATATAAGATGATCAGTTCAATAGCTGACTTGAGCGCGAGCTATCTACCTTTTGTACCGCTCGGTGCACGCACCGACAAAGCACGGCGGCAGGCAACGAGCGCACGCTGCAGGCGGAGCTTGTCCTGCTCTTTATTATTTTTTTTTTCTTCTGGAAATGAGTGTCCGCGGGTACGGCCGTGGACAATGGTACTCCTCCCTGTACATCAGCGCAGTTGTTTCACCGCCGAACCTGGCCGAAATTAACGATGGACGGAATCAGACGCACATCGTGTTCGTAAAAAAAGATCGCAATTTAGGCTCGAAACAACTTTGTGGTTTGCCAGGTGGCCCAATACTATTGTTTCATTCGCTGTGTGCTACAAGAAAGAAATGTATATCGCAAAATTAATCGAAAGTGGCATGAAACAGCATCACAATCGCGTGCACGTTGAAACCGAAACCGACCAAATTGAAGCAACCTAATGGCGGCGAGTGCGCCAGCGCCCTCTACCCGCCGGTCAGGCAACTACTGAAATGAAAAGGTCTATAAACACACACACAACCCCCCTAGCCCCGAGCGCGAGAGCTATACACTTTAGAAATGCCCCAGTGTCGTGCTTGCCGACACGCACCGACACGAACAAAGTGTCACGAGTGAAGTTCTTTCGATCATCTCGAGACAAAGGATGCCACCGAGTCTCGGCGATCACAGGACGGCAGCGTTAGCGGACGGTGCTAGCCTACTTCGATACGCCGCCGAAAGATGACGCAACGTGACAAACGTGACGATGCGCCGCCAGCGGCACCTCCACCGACCTCTCCGCACAAGGATAGGTGCCAGCCGGGCCATTACGGCACGTATGATGCAAGCTGACGCGGTGCTCTTGAAAAGGAACCTTGAATAGCATTGTAATAAACGAGCCAAAACATAAAAAAAAAAAAAAAAAAAATAGCATTACAGAGACTCACGTCGCGTTGAAGGAATCGTAATAAAAACTTTCGAAAGATTGTCTGCAAAAACCAAGGTGCTAAAACCAAGACCCGGCTCGTTTCGCCCCCTACGAGGAAACTCGGCACGTATCTTCGGCGTCTGGGGGAGAGGGGGGGGGGGGGGGGGAGGCAGGTGACTATCGCCGATGCCTTGACATTCAGTTGAAAATGTTTAGGGCCTTGTAACTTTGAAGACGTTTTTAGATGCGTAGACCAGGCTGCTCGATCAGATAGTCATGAAGATGTGCCCACGATACCTTCAAGAGATCCGTAATTTTTTTTTTAGGAAATAGTTTCTTTTGTTTGTTTAAGGGATCGGGAAGGCATGTCAATCTCGTATAAGTAAATTTCAGGAGGTACCGCAGCTAATCCTCGGCGGTGACACTTTTAAAGCACGCGCCACTCGCTGCGGGCCCTCGGAAACAAGAAAAAAAAAAACAATCGCCAACCCGAATCAGCATAACACTCCCCGCTCCCCTCCCCCCCGTAGTTCGACCATGTCTGTTTTAGTGCACCTTTGAACTTCCTGTATAAAAGTATAAACAAAACGTGCGTATCTGCAACTTAGAATTAAGGTTCCGTGTTTCCGCTATACACCGATGAACCCCGAAAACTAACTCCGGGCCAGTTTAAACTAAAACGAGGAAAACCAAAAAACACCGAAGAGGCGCATGTCCCTGAAAATAACAGAAAAATCGCTAAATTTCCCGCCAAATGTAGCGAGGAATTGGGTTCCCCAAACTGTTTGGGATACCCAAAGTTCTGAGGCCCCCTATTCTAAAACTCGCCAATATGCACGGACCGACGGGGGGAAATAAATGGGTGATTGGAATGCTCCAATAAAAAAACATATCATGTTAAAAAAAAAAAAAAAAAAAACAGACGCAGGAGACACGGAATCGTATACTTACGATGAAGGGCCAGAGTCGCGTTGCCCCCACAGAGGCGCACCGGTGCCGCCAGTCCCCGCCTGCTGTCGAACCCGGCCGGCAGCTGAACAAAGTCAGACTGACAGTGCGTCGCCATATCCGTCGGCGGAGCAGTCGACAGCGTTCTCAACTTGAGGGACAATGCCTGGAGCCAGACGGGTCGAGCGATGCACATGGCGTAGCTCAGGCCGCTCAGCGACCCCGCCGAGGAGTCCTGCGCGAAGCCGAAACTTCGGAAGGAACCCCGACAGCCTCGGTGGAATTGAAAGCAGCCTTGTGGAGCTAAAAAAAATAAAGAAAGAGAAAAAAAAAAAAGGACTTTGAGGACAGTTGAACTAGACCAATCTGATCCCGAGCTTGTGAATGGAGCAAAGTGCCACATTTATATAGAACTATTGTCCGCGAACTATATATACATGTCTGAAAGTTTAAAATTTACGCGGTGCGGATTATCTATACTTTTTTTCTTCCCTTTTGTCATTAGTTACGTGGATTTCATATCTGGTATGCAAAATGGTAAAACAATAGGACATTTCAACATGATATTCACGAGAGAATACGGGTGTGGTAAAACAAGAATGAGTGACAATGACACATTTTTCGTGGACGCTTTCCAGCGGCGTGGAGAGATCAAAACGATGTTTTAGCACGGCGAATTCCACTCATAAAGCGATTGCTTATTATGTTTCTTTATCGTGTGTCCCCCTTCGTAAAACCAGGATCTTATACGATATGTGCATGATGGTCGAAGCTGACAAAATGAGAGCTGCTCTTTTAAATTTACACGTATTTGCTTTTGATCTTGCGAACCTTCCGTGCCTTCGACTACGTAACCACAGAGCTGGTTGTGCAAAAGTAGAACATACACGGCCACCGATCCCCCCTTTTGGTCACAACTGCGCCAGCGCCGTAATAATACATTTAGCCCCCCCCCCCTTCCCCCCCTCCAAAAAAAAAAAAAAAGAAGCATCGTAGTAAAACATATAAAATAGCGCAACAGAAACAAGGACAAGAAGTAAACAGGACATAGCGCCTGTCCTGTTTACTTCTTGTCCTTGTTTCTGTTGCGCTATTTTATGTTTTACTAAGATGAACCAACTAGCCCAACAACGTACCTTACTAAAGAAGCATCGATTGCCAAATTGCGGTCTATTTTATGTATACTGCATGTTTTAATTTATAAATTTTAATTGCAACTTGCAGTATTTTTGGTCCGCATTCCTTTGCAGCAACGATGTAGGCGGAATAGCAGACTGAATTTATGTCAGGGACTGTTTCCTACCCAGATTCGGATCGCCGCAGGCGAAGAGTACGATGCGGATGGCCCAGACCCGCTCCGGTCCCAGTTGAAGTAGAGAGACCTTTAACGTCAACAGGCTTTGCTCCTCCGAGTCTCCAGTATGGAGAACCACTGCAACAAAAGCGAAATCGAGACAATGTACGAAGTGCGGATAGATAACAGCGGCCATCGCCGTTCTTATAGGGGTCATGAAATGAAAATTGGGCTGGGATGAATGAATTTAGATTGGGATTCTACGAATACCATATCGTTTAGGGGGCCCTTAAGAAGAGAGTAGAAAGTCAAAAGCCTGCTTTTCGGTACGGAAGTTTGAAAACATAGCGCGCTGTTTCGTAGCTGACAGGGCGGCGAGAGGCAGCTACGCGCTTGCCGGCCGTTTATCACCTGATCCCATTTCCTGCGCGTGGGAAGGCACGTGATCACGTGGGTAAAGATAGAAGTGTGACCGGCCCAACGAGCACGTAGCTTCCACAGTCACGGGCAGTAGGGGGGAGGGCAACGACGTGGTCATTTTAGAATAATCCGTGGAGAAGGAACAAGGAGACAATTAGAGCAAACACATATTTGGAGACTTGTGTTCGTCACCCTCGTTCTCCTTCTCCGGGAATTATTGCCGTTTATTCTGTCCACCTGCACCCATCGTGGCGTGCACCTTTGCATTAATTAAATTATCATCGGCTAATCTTCAAGGGGGAGAACGCCGACGTACGGGTATATAAACGAGGGTCCGAGATTTGGTCCGAGAAAGAGGCGAGTTCTTCCTTTCCCTTTTTTTTGAACTCTTTGGTAACCCTGCGCGATTTGTGAGCTGAGGAAAAAAGCCAAGAAGGAAGAAGTTAAGAAATCGTTTCACGGCACCTTTAACCGAGCCCAGGAGAGGTTTTCTTTTACCTTGTAATACGTTTCTTTTTTTCTTTGTTTACCGGGGGGATTTCGAAAAGAAATGCAACGTCAACAGCGGAGCAACGTCCGAGTTCACGTGGTCTCGTATAACCTTTGTCCTCAGTGCTCCGTGAGTTCACCATATTCTCTGGCGTCACCGGTCACGTGACAAAAGCTGGCGGAAATATAAACAGCGTCTTTGTTCCCTTTTCTGTGTTTTGAGGGAGGAAAGTTACTATAGATTTCTTTAAGTACACAAGATAGGGCTGCACACCGTTCTTGTCGACAAAACTAGTCAAGAATACTCGAAGTCGACGTATACCTACACACTCGGTTCGGTAATAGCACCCACTGCACGGCGCCAGATCAGTAAGTTGCCTCAGCACTCAAGAACAAGAGCGCGTGTGATTAGATTCAACGGCAGGGGATAAAAATTTGATATTGCGAGAGTCAGTAATTTTTGGTAATAATGTGTCGATCTAGGTTCCTATCTTGCCGAGGAAACAAGGGTAGGACGTCAAAGACTATTCTGTGGACACTGCTCGCGAAAAGCTGACCGAGAGTGAAAAGGGGCCCGAAGCGACCTTGTTACAGCTTGCGGAGATCGGTACGTACCGTGTTGCCCAGCGTTTTCCCCGCATAACTTTGGAACGTACGTGTCGCTGCCGTTCAGAGACACCTGGAGGTAATCCTGGCTGCAGGCTCCCTGCAGCGGGGGCTGCAGAGCGAACTGCTCGAGCTCCAGACGGGCCTGGCAGATCCCGGCCGGTAGGGTCACGGTGAGGGACACGTTCTTCCCTCCTTTGTACGGCCGTGGAAATTCCGGTTGGACGAAGTACGAGTTGTTGGACAGAGTTGTAGCCACGCTGTCGGCAGCCTCGTCTGAAAGCAAAAGAAGGAAACATTAATATTGGCAGCGAGCTTCATCTCCGCAGGAGCCAACTTTCGAATTCGTTTAGAAGACACCGGGCTTTCGCCGGAAGGGGCATTAGGGAGTTTTCGTAGACCGCGTTGCCCCCTCCGCTAAGCGTTCCGCAACGAAGAAGTTGCTACTGCGCCTGCGCGCCGATAGCCTTGACTGTGGAGTTCCCGCTATCGTAGCGGATTGCGGAGGGCCTTGCGGGACGGCGAAAACGTTCTACGAAAACTCCCTATTAACAGCTACCGCTGTAACACTCACAGACGCAGCAGACGCCGAACCCGTCCGCGCACTCTCCCTCGCGGATGCCCCTGGAGAAACGGCAGTCCGGCAGGGCCAGGCAGCGTCCCGTGCGGTTCAGGCTGCTGCGACAGCGGTCCACCGCGAAGCCCAGCGCAGGGAACGGCACCCACGACTTGACCAGCAGTTCCGGGTTCACTGCGCGACGAGGTGAGGAACAACCGTGAGCGCGTGCCCATAGAAACAGCCAGCTGTCGATTGAGAGAACGCGTGTACCTAAACTTTCTTTTCGTCCCAAGTGCAGCAGCAGACTTTCCGGGTTTTACCGAAAAATACCGACAAACATCCGGTGGTGTATCTAAAACCGAAAAGCACTGATTTCTGGCAAATTTTGTTCAAAGCGAAGACCACGGATTGTCATAATAGGGAGTCTTCGTAGATCGCGTTTCTTTCTCCGCTAAGCCCTCCGCAACGAAAAAGCCGCTGCTGCGCCTGCGTGCCGATGGCCTTGACTGTTGAGTTTAGGGTATCGTAGCAGGTTGCGGAGAGCGTTGCGAGACGACAACAATGGCCTACGAATACTTCCTAATAGGGAGTTTTCGTAGACCGCGCTACCCCCTCCGCTAAGCGTTCCGCAACGAAGAAGTCGCTACTGCGCCTGCGCGCCGATGGCCTTGACTGTGGAGTTCCCGCTATCGTAGCGGATTGCGGAGGGCCTTGCGGGACGGCGAAAACGATCTACGAAAACTCCCTATTGTCTATCTTCGGTTCAAGTAAAAGTTGCACGACGAACACCAATGTAGTTCCTCACACTATAATAATTGTGTTGTGTGTGTGTTTACAGCCTAGAACTTGGTCTGCCTCACAGGGGCGACGAGTCTCCCAGCTGTAGATGAGAAATTTGGCCAGTGCGGTACAGCCGCTAGCCTGGGGTCTTTAACGTGCATCACGCAGTAGTGATACACGACCGCACGCCGGTACGATGCTCATCCAGATCGAAACGGGCAGGGGTGGGGCTCGAACCCAGGATCCCTGGGTTCTGCAGCGCGAGCTTTCGCTCCACGTGCTCCGAGCTGGTGTGCGCTAGACCACTCGGCCACCGATCTCCTTCCTCACACTGTGAGGAACTACATCGGTGTTTGTTGTCGGTTTAATCTTGCGAAAGAAACAAGAGCGACTTACCTATCTCGTAGCAGAAACATTTTGTTTAAGAATTACTCTTCATTTTTTTATCGCACGGAGCAGAAGGGTAGCAGATACAAAGAAAACGAAAGACTCCCGTATGATTTGTATTCGAACATGTTGTCCGTAATTATAACAAGCTTGGAGCGTTATAGGGGGTATGCAAATCGGAAATAATATTCCCCTGTATCTAAAATAAAATGAAGAGTGATGCTATACGCACGCCGTCGTGCACCTCGACCGGAAACGGCTATACGCACGACGCGGAGAGCTCACGTCATATTTCATTTATGTATTTGAAAATACTACTCGCTCCACTCAAGGAGCTTGTATGAATAATGTTTAAAAGCGCAAACAGACAGGGACAATAAAAAATAACACAAACGACAGGGACAAGGCACCTTGTCCCTGTCGTTTGCGTTATTTTCTATTGTCCCTGTCTGTTTGCGCTTTTAAACCTTATACCTACCATAGACCAACTAGCCCATACCAAAGTTTTAATGAGCCTTAGTAGGAGTTACGACAAAAGTGCAGTCATAAATAGAAAAAGAAAAAGGAAACACTCAGGTAAGTAGACTTTCCACAGCAGTAATGAAATTTTCAGCAGGTGCTAATATGACAATATCGTTTGGTCTGCATTCCAAGCTTGAACTGCCCGAGGAAAGAAAGCATATCTAAAAAGATCATTCTTAAACCTGTATTGTTTTAACGCTCTAGTATGGTTTAGGCGTCGAGACCCTGTCGACAATGGTTCTAAGTAGCTAGAGCTGTCGATTTGAATAGTGCCGTTAAGAATAATATACAGTATTTTTAATCTATCAATTTTTGCTCATGTTCGCAACGGCTGAAGCTGCGCCCTGAAAAGCAGTTCTGTAGATGAGGCTCCTACACGGAAGTTATTAAAAATAAACCGAGCAGCGGCTAGTTTCTGAATACTTTCAAGCCTGAGAATACCAGTTTACGTGTAAGAATACCACACTGAGCTGGCGTATTCTAACACAGTTCTAACAAAACTTTTATAGGCAGTAGGTCTAGTATCTGAATCAGCAAATTTTAATTTCCTTCTCAACGCGAACAAATTGCCCCCCGCTTTATTAACAGTCGCTTCCAACTTCCAGTTGCTGGTTCCAGTTGAGTTTAGTATTAAAGACGAGTCCCAAATATTTGTATTCCTCGACTCGTTTGAGAGGTTGCCCTTAAAGTAAGTAATTAGATTGGATCGGCTCTTCTTTTACACGAGACTGCCATGGCGGTTGTTTTATCATAACTTAGCTTCTCTTGCCACGTTTCAGACCGATTCAATATTGCCCCCAAAGGTTCCTGTAGTCTAGTACAATCATCTGCGAACATTCTAAGTGGGACATTCATGTTAAATGATATGTCATTAATGAAAACCAAAAGCAAGAGTGACCCAAGCACGGAGCCCTGAGGTACTCCCGGAATAACGGGCAGTTTTTCAGAGTCAATTTTATTATAGTGAACGTATTTGCTTTTGTTTGTTATATAAGCAGTTATCCAATTTAAAACTGGTAGAATATTGGAAAGCTTGGTTAGCAATTTGGGGTACCTGTCAAACACCTCAGAAAAGTTGAAGTAAATTTCGTCAGTATGTCCCCTTCATTAATTGTTTCAGCTACGGTAAGTCATCTGTAAATTCAATGAGCTGGGTTGTGGTTGACAGTGACTTTCTAAAAGCGTACTGATTTTTATAAATGAGATTATGTTTGTCGAGTTGACACATAAAGACGATGTGCTCTAACAATCTACATGTTGTACTAGTTAAAGAAATAGGCCTGAAACTTGATGCTGTATTCCAATCACCGTCCTTATGTATCATAGATACTGAAGAGAATGTATAAATATTTTGACACCCATTCCGCGTATCGTTTCGAAACAATATTCGGTTTCATATCCATGTCGCACTTTTCTTACTGTTTAATTTATTCAAGAGGGAGTTCAAAATTCTCTTGTGACTTATGGAAATGTCGCTAATTCTTTCCACGTTGGTAACTTGTAGGCTTGAGACTACGCCATCATCATTACTGAAGACCGATTCACAGATAATTCAACTAACATACGGTTATACTGCTTTGTGTAGTTGATTTTTCCTGACGAAAAGGCAAACAGCGCACAGTAAATGGGGACTAAATGAAGTGCAAACAGGACAAGCGCTTGTCCTGTTTGCACTTCCTTTAGTCCCCGTTTACTGTGCGCTGTTGCCTTTTCGTCAGTATCAACCAACTAATCCACATCGCCGTCCTTATTGATTTATCCTTGGATGAAATATGACGCCAAAACTTTCGTGACGCACTTTTCATAAAAGAATGAAGCGAAGTATTAAAATATGTTTGCTTGGATTCTAATATTTTGACTTTAAGTTGCGCGTTTAGTTCCGAAAAAGCTGACCACATGATTCTGTCCTACTGTATTTAGAATTCTTTCTCATTCGGGCAATTCTACGTTTTAAATGCAGAATATTACTGCTAATCCACGGAATATAAACTGCAGCCTTTGCTTTTTTCAATTAGGTACATATTTAAATCTACATTTGTTTACAATATTTTAAATCAGTACCACAGAGCCTCGATGTTAGAACCACATTCATAAAAAATTGTTCGAACATATCAAAAGACACTAAAATAATCAAGAATAGCAACGTCGTCGGCATTATTAAAATCTGGAACTGTTAACAGGACGGATGAACTTCTCAATCCTTGGTCCAGAAACATTGACACGAGCACCATATTATGATCAGAAATATATCTGGACAAACTGAAGCTGTGTCTTTTAAACTAAGCAGCAGGTCATTTAAAAAAACCAGATCGAGAAGTGAATCGCCCCTAGTAGGGCGGTTTACTATCTGTACTAAGTTGTGGGAAAAGGCTAGATCAACCAGGGCTCCTCCATTCGCACGATCCTGGTTAGACACAGTAAGTGTATCCCAATCAATACAGGGTAGATTAAAGTCTCCCAGGTGAATGAAATTAGTGGAGTGTTTTGTGAATTGATATAAGTGATTATTGAGATAACTAATAAAATAATAGGTGTATTTGGTGGTCTTTAAGCAGCACATACAATGAATGACACGTTTTCGTACATCAGTTTACGCAGCAAAACTGCATGATTAATCGATGTAAAGGCAGACGTACACCGCAAGGACATTTTATGAAAAATAACTACGCGCCCTCCCCTGGAAGCCCTGTCTTTTATAACAGTATAGTTCATTTAGTGTTGGAATTTGGCTCCCTATCGTCCTGCGAGGTTTCGTCGACAGAGTATTTGATTTTTACAACGAAAGTTGTAATGGAAAATACCTTGTCTACAGCACCAAATAAAGGTAGCGCGTGATTCACTGAGGCGTGTTTACACCCCCCCCCCCCTCTCTCTCTCTCTCAGCGCTGGCGTTTAAAAAAAAAACAAAAAAAAACGTATGGCGTTATCAGGTGGTCAAAAGAACTATTCGTATGTTCCTGGCGCTCCGATTCCGCAGGCAAGCCAGCGCTCCCAAGCCTCGTTATAACGTTCTCATCCTTGCAGACGAAGAAATAACCGGCGATTCTTTTGTGCCGTGTACGATGGCCTGATCGGCTGAAGGAACAAAGGTGAGAAGCTGTCCTGTGAAATTCTAGCGATCTCCGAGTAAGCTGTACGAAGTGGAGCCGGCGGAGCGTCGACGGCGATGAATCGCAGCGGTTGCAGGGACCCGCCACGTAAAATTCGTTCGCATCGTCTTTTAAGTTTTAACATCCATCCACATGGATGGATTTGAAGGTTTATAGGCTTTGTAATGGGCGTTAGCTTGCGCCACCTAGATTGACCTGTAGCCAGTGTTGCCTAATTGGGTGGTCTCCGTTTTTTTGTTGTTGTTTTTCTAGTTGACGCCATAATTTGGTGGCTGGCTATGTGGCTATTTCTTGGGGAGTGCCAAACTTTTGTGGCTTTTCAGATTCGACGTTGAACTTCGACTAGCTGATTTTCGAACTGCTAGTCAGTTAAAAAAAAATGTGTTTCTATTT